ATTTTTGCCATTTATTTCTAGCTCATCTCTTATATAGAAGTCAGTCAGAGGGAATGCAAAATGTAGCAGCTACCTTAGAATACAGATAGTCAACTTCTTATAAATTAAATATACACTTATCATATGATCCAGCAATCATGCTCCTTGGTATTTACCCATCGGAGTTAAAACTCACGTTCCTTCAAAAACCTGCACATAAACATTTATAGCACCTTTATTAAAAACTGCAAACCTTGAAATCAACAAGATGTTAAGATGTCAACAAATTCTATGTTCCCCTTTCTTACGGAGAAATATCTCTCTGATCCCTCTGACTGGCTGAGAAAAAATCCTTTACAACCAACTTTAGCAGAGACTAGAAGCAGCCCCAATAACACCAGATAAGCCAAACAGACCAAAATAATACTCCAGAAACTCAGAAACATAAACTTCCATTAGAACACCAGCTTGCAAATATAGGGCAAGATCCATGTGCTAAACCTCAATAAGGTGACTGCCTGCTAAAATGAAACATTTAAGCAGGATCCAGAGTCCTACTAATGGAAAAAATAAAGGAAAACTCCTTGAGGTCATACAGGTCAAAATGGTGGACTGCCCAAACTGCCCAGGCCAGGTGTTCTCCACACCCACTTCCTTTCCCTACCTCTGTGTATAGATGACCCCAAGGCACCCTAACCCTATACATCCAATCAGCTTTAAACACCTCTGCTGGTATGGGTGGACTTCTTTTAATTTTATAAGCAAATGACCACCTTTGTTTGGGAGCTCAGACCTCTGGAGAATGATCTCCTCTGAGCCCAGTGTTGTAAAATAAACTTCCTCCCTTCCAAGATCTCTGAGTCCTGCTTAGTTCTTCCTCCAATGATCCAGATCAGATTTCTGCAACACTACTAACATAGTAGATAATATGTCTAGAATACAATAAAAATTACCTGTCATACAAAGAATTGAGAAAATTCCAATTTGAATAAGATAAGACAATCAACTGATACAAGTATTGGTTATCAATCAGATGTTGGAATTATTTGACAAGCACTTTGGAACAGCTGTCATAAACATGTTATTTTTTTTAATTTTTTATTTATTTAAATCCAAGCAAGTTAACATATAGTGCAATAATGATTTCAGGAATAGAATTTAGTGATTCATCACTTACATGTAACACCCAGTGCTTATCCATACAAGTGCTCTCCTTAACGCCCATCACCCATCTAGCCCTTCCCCCCACCCCACACCCCACCAGCAACCATCAGTTTCTTCTCTGTATTTAAGAATCTTTTACAGTTTGTCTCCCTCTTTGTTAAAAACAAACAAACTCATAAACATGTTTGATCAACTAATTACAAATTGTCTTGAAACAAATGAAAAACTGAGAAAGAAACACAGCATAGAGAGAGAAATGATTAAAAACAATCAGTTTGAAATTACACAACTAAAAACATATACACAGTAAGAAATTAAGAAGCAAAGATTTCACTAAATGGTCCCAACAGTAGAAGATGGAGATCAGGAGGGTGGAATTAGTGAATTCCATAGAACTCACCCAATTTCAACAACAGAGGTAAAGTAGACTTGAAAACTAAAACAAAAACAAACCAAAAAAAAAAAAAAAAAAAAAGAATGGACAGAGACTCAGGAGCCTGTGGGACAGCAATGAAAGAGCCGTCATTTGCATTTGTATCAGCAGATCCCTGAAGGAGAGAAGAAAAAGATTGGGGGAATTAAAGCATCTTTGAAGAAACAATGGCTGAAAACTTGCCAAATTTGGCAAAAGACATAACATTCAGATCCAAGAAACTGAGCAAAGTATAAACAGATTAAACCCAAAGAAATCTAAACAAAGACACATTATAATTAAAGTTTTGAAGACTACAAATAAAGGCAAAATATCCTGAAAGCAGTCAGAGGAAAAATGGGCCATTACCTCCAGGAAATCCATCAGGTTTCGCATGTCCAACCACAGAGGCCAAAAGAAAGGAGCACAGTATTTTGCCAAGTGTCGGAAAAAAAAAAACTATCAGATGAATTCTATATCTGGGAAAACTATCATTCAAGGAAGAAGAAAAAATGAAGACAAAAACAAAAAGGATTGGTCTCTAACAGATCACCCTTAAAGATCCAGTAGAGTAAATTCTTCAGAGAAGAAATGGTCAAGGAAGTTGTCTTGAAACATCTGGAAGGAGGAAACAGTGATGATTGAAACAGAAATTTCAACATGACCTGATTTCCAAAACAATGATATTTGCAAGAGGAAAAGGGAAGTGGATATAAATGAATGTGAGGTTCGCACACTTTGCTCAGGTGTAGTACAATGTTGATTCCAATAGACTTTTATACATCATGCATGTACTGGGTGCCTGGGTGACTCCCTTGGTTAAGTGTTCAACTCTTCATGTCAGCTCAGGTCACCATCTCACACTTCATGAGTTTGAGCTCCATGGGCTCTGGGTTGACAGCACAGAGGCTGCTTAGGATTCTGTCTCTCTCCCTTCTTCTCTGCCCCCCCCCCCCCCCCCGGTGCATTCTCTCTCTCTGTCATAATAAATTAATAAACTTTAAAAAAAGTCATTCATACACTTTGTAATACCCAGTCAACCACCATGAAAACTATGTAGAGATACATTCAAAAACACTATACAGGCGTACCTTGTTTCACCGTGCTTTGCTTTATTGTATTTGCTTTCTTGTACTTTGCAAATACTGTATTTTTTTACAAATCAAAGGTCTGTGGCAACCCTCCATTGAGCAAGTCTTTTGGTGCATTCCTTCCCAGCATTTGCTCACCTCACAGCTCTGTGTCACATGTTGGTAATTCTCTCAATATTCTGAATCTTTTTTTTTGTTTGTTTATTTGTTATAGTTATCTATAATCAGTGATTATGATTTGCTGAAAACTTAGATGATGGTTAGCACAATTTTTAACAATGAAGCTTTTTTTTTAAATTTACTTTGAGAGAAAGAGAGGGAGAGAGAAGGAGCTCAGAGGGGCGGAGAGAAAGGGACAGAGGATCTGACGGGGACTCCTTGCTATCAGCACAGAGCTTGATGAAGAGCTCAGACTCACAAGCTGTGAGATCATGACCTGAGCCAGAGTCAGATGCTTAACTGACTGAGCCATCCAGGCATCCCTAGCAATGAAGTATTTTTTAATCAAGGTATGTATATTGTTTTCCTAAGTTTCACTTTATTGTTTGTATCTTTATTTTTTATTGGTACTCGTTAAAAAGAAATAGGGATATGAACATCCATGTCTTCTCTATTTTTCAAAGCTTTGTAAATTTCATCTGAAAATAAAATGCGGTATTTCATAAAAGCTTTTTTAAATGTCTAAAATATAATTATTTTCTCAGTAAATTCACTTGTAGCTCTTAGGATAAATGATCTGGCCTAGAGTCATTTTACAGAAATAAATATGTAAGAAAATACAATTTAATTTTATAAGCTTGTCTCATTTTTTAATTAAATTGAGGTACAGTGGATACACAATATTACATTAGTTTCAAGTGTACAATATAGTGACTCAACAGCTCTACGTGTTATGCTGTGCTCATCACAAGTGTAACTACGGTCTTTTCACTCTACCACACTATTACAATACCACGGACTATACTCTCTATGCCATACCTTTCGTATCCATGACTTACACATTCCATAACGGGAAGCCTGTATCTCCCAGTCCCCTGTACATGGTTTTGTTTTAGAAATGACACTACTTCACACTTAACAGACTATGGTATAGTGAAAACATACCTTTTATATGCATTGGGAAACCAAAAAAATATATTTGATTTCTTTAATCAAATATTGTGATAAAAGAATTGTGATATTTACTTTATTGCAGTTGTCTGTAGGTAATATGTCTGCAATATCTCTGTGGTATGTCTATATGTTAATCAAGATAGAATCCTAAAATCCTGGATTTAAAAATTTAAATAATTCATGGATACACAAGAAAAACAGATGGACACAAAGAGGAGAAAACTAAAGAGAAAACACAATAAAATTGCAGATATAACCACAAAATATCAATAATTACCTGAAAAGTGCAAATGGTTTAAACACCAATCAAAAGACAAGTTGGCAGAGTAAGTTAAAAAATGATCCAATGCTGCTTAAAAGAAAACCACATCAAATTCAATGATGTATGTGGGTGGGAAGTGAATTCAACAACTTAGAAGAAATGGATCAATTCTTTAAAAACCACAGACTATCAAAACTCAGACAAAATGAAGTAGGCAATCTGAGCAGTCCTATAACCCCCAAATAAATAGAATTTGTAATTACAAAGCTCCTAAAAAAAAAAAGAAAAGAAACTCTCCAGGCCCAGATGATTTTCAGGAGCAAAATATTAGCAAACTAAATCCAAAAATGTATAAAAAAGAATTATATAGCATGACCATGTGGAATTCATTCCAAGTATGCAAAGCTAACTCAATATTTGAAAATCAACTGATAAAATCCATTATCTCAACAAAGCTAAGGAAGAAAAATCATATTATCATAACAATTGATACAGAAAAAGCATTCAACAAAATCCAATACCAAGTCATATATAACTCTCAAGTTAGGAACAGAGAATTTCTTCACATTGACACAACACATCCACAAAAGAACCTACACTTACATTGTATTTAATCATACTTAATGGTGAAGAGTGGAATGTTTTTCCTCTAGAATCAGCAGTAAGTCAAGGATGCTCACTCTAACTTTTACTCCACATAGTAGTAGAAGTTCTAGTCACCAGAACTTGGCAAGAGAGAGAAATCAAAGACATGGGCATTGGAAAGGAAGGAATTAAACTGACTCAATTTGTAGCTGATATGATATTGACATAAAAAAATCTAAGGAAACACATACACACACCCACACACCTCTAAGAAATAAGAAATGAGTTCAGCAAAGTTGTAAGATTCAAGACACACACACACACTTGCACATTGATTACATTTCTATATAACATCAATGAACATATACACACAAATATTTTTTAAATGCAATACCATTTAGGGACTCCTGAAAGGTTCAGTCAGTTATGCATCTTACTTCAGCTCAGGTCTGATCTCACTGTTCATGGTTTGAAGATCCACATCAGACTGTTCTAACAGCTCAGAGCCTGGAGCCTACTTCAGATTCTGTGTCTCCATCTCTCTCTGCCCCTCCCCACTGTTCTCTCTCTCTCTCTCTCGGTCTCTTAATAATAAATGAAACATTAAAAAAACACAACAGTGGGACGCCTGGGTGGCTCAGTCAGTTAAGCATCTGACTTTGACTCAGGTCATGATCTCACAGTTGATGGGTTCGAGCCCTGCCTCAGGCTCTGTGCTGACAGCTCAGAGCCTGGAGGCTGCTTTAGATTATCTGTTTCCCTCTCTGTCTCTCAAAACTAAACAAAAATGTTAAAAAAATAAACAAAATAAAAAACTTTTAAAAATGCAATACCATTTAAAGTTGCTTCAGAAAAAAGATAGCATGTAGATAAAAAATCCAATAAAACATGTAAAGGATGTAGATGATAACAATTACAAAATGCTCATGAAATAAATCAAAGAATATCCAAATAAATGGGAGCTCCTGGGTGGCTCCATCGGTTAAGTGTTTGACTTGATTTCAGCTCAAGGGATGATCTCACAGTTCGTGGGTTCAAGCCCCACATAGGATGCCACACTGATAGTACAGAGCCTGCTTGGAGTTCTCTCTCTGCCTCTCTCTCTGTCCCACTGCTGCTCATTCTCTCACATATGTGTGCACACATTCTCTCTCTCTCTTAAAATAAATAAATAAACTTTACAAAAAAAGAATAAAGTGGGTAAGATTACTAATATTAAAACTTACCAAATAGTGGAAGTAACCAAAATGGTGTAATCTTAGTGGAGAAAAGACACATTGATCAATGAAACAGAATCGCATAACCAGAAATTGTAGTCTGAAAATGCACTCAACTGATTTTGACAAAGGTTCAGGGAAAGAAAGGTCGCCCTGAAGATGATGTTGAAGCAACTGGATATCCAGAAACCAAAGCAAACACACAAAAAAAATGCCCTCTATATAAACTTTCCACCTATGCAAGAGTTATCTCAGAATGGACCACAAAAATTAATATAAAATGTAAGACTCTAAAACTTTTGGGAAAAAAAATAAGAGAAAATAATAGGAAGCTAAGTCTAGGCAAAGTGTTCTTAAATGTGACATCAAAAGTGTAGTTCGTCAAAAGTTTGCTCTGTGAAAGTCCATGTGGAAAGAACAAAAAGCAAATTTCCCCTGCTGCCTGGGTGACTCAGTCGGTTGAGTGTCTGACTCTTGATTTCTGCTTAGGTCATGATCTCCAGGTTCTTGAGATTGAGCTCCGCGTTGGACTCTGTGCTGACAGTGTGGAGCCTGCTTGGGATTCTCTGCCCCTCTCCCTGCTTGCCCTCACATAGGATCTTTCTCTCATTCTCTCTCTTTCAAAATAAATAAATAAACATTTAAAAAACAAGCTTCCAAGTGGGAAAAAAGTATTTGAAAACCACACATTCAACTGAAAGATGACACAATATGTTACCTTAATAAATGTGCTTTTTGTCCTAAGGGTTATTTTGAGCTTAAGGTACTTAAACAACAGCAGATGCAGGCAGGGCATTCTAATCTCCACTCTTGGTCCTGAAAACAGGAGATAAACACTTCCATGTGAAAGTGCCCTTTTTGTCCTAGAAAGAAAGTAACATTCTTATCATCAAGGAGGAGAAATGGAGAATGAGAGAATTCTATTAAAACAGACCTTGTGAGCATAATTCTCATTCTCTGTGTTAGCTTTCTCACATCATTCAGTTCCTTTTTCACAAGCTGCCTCTCTTTTTTCAACCAAAAAAGTCTATTTTCCATTTCTCTGAGTCTTTGTTTCCTTATGAGGACTTTTATGTCATGTAAAATTTACATAAATCTGTCTTTTTTCTGTGATTCATTCTTATGTCAGGCCTGGCCAAAAAACCAGAGGGTAGAGGTAAAATTTTACTCCCCAACAAAACAAAGAATTAGTAACTAGAATACATAGAGAACTCTCACACTCAATGGTTTAACGTAAAACTTCAGTTAGAAAATGTATGAAAGACATGAAGAGTCACTTTACTGAAGAGGGTATGCAGATAGCAAATAATCACATGAAAAGTTGTTAAACATTATTAGCCATTCAGGAAATGCAAATCAAAACCACAATAATCTGTAACTACATTCTTATCAAAATGGCTAAAATAAAAAATATATATATGATACCTATATATATATATATATATATATATATATATGGTACCAAATTTTGATGAAGATATGGAGAAACTGGTTGGTCTATAAATTCATTGGTAGTGGGAACGTACAATGAAACAGCCACTTGGAAAAGTTTAATACTTTCTTAAAAACTAACCATGCAATTACCATATGACTTAGCTATTGCACTCCTGAGCATGTATCCCAGAGAATGCATTTCAGTTTACACAAAAACCTACACTCAAATGTTCAGAGAAGCTTTAATTTGTGAGAGCCCAAAACTGGAAGCCATCAAAATCCCTTTCAAGAAATGTACAGTTTGGGGCACCTGGATGGTTCAGTTGGTTGAGTGTCCGACTCCTGATTTCTGCTTAATCATGATCTCCAGGTTCACAAGATGGAGCTCCACATTGGACTCTATGCTGACAGCACGGAGCCTGATTGGGATTCTCTCTCTGCCCCTCCCTGGTGTGTTCTCTCTGTCTTTCAAAACTTAAAAAATGACCTTAACAAATATTAAAGGTCTGTATGGTTAAACCAATTATGGGGCATACTTTCCATGGATTACTACTAGGAGCTACTGAAAGATGCAAAGATTTGGATGAATCTCCAGAATTGAAACAAGCTAGTCTTATCATGGTAGTTAAAACCATAAACCCACAGGAACAACTCAACTGCCCATTAACAGTAGAATGGGTACATTGAGCTCTACATACACAATGAAACACTCTATGACTCTTTGAAGTGGATGGACTATTGAAAAAGTAACAGCATGAATGAATCCCACTAAAAAGTACTCAGCAAAAAAAGCCAGTCAGTATACTGCCTGATTCCATTTGCACAAAGTTCAAATATGGGTAAGAGTACTTCATGGTGTTAGAAGCCAGGCGTGTGATTACTTTTGGGAAAGAGGGTGAGTCCTGGCCAAGATGGGTAGAAGAAGGTCATCTGTAGCTGATGATGTTCTATTTCATAACGTAGGTGGTGGATTAAGTGGGTGTAGTCCCATTCAGTGAGTGACATCCTCTTATCGTGCATTCCTTCCTCGGAAAATTCCATGATTCCCCATTAACTGAAGAATACCATTGAAACCCAATAAAAGTGGCACATAAGTCTTCTTGTTTTCATATTCCACTGTCTCTTAACCAATCACTCCTCTTGCCCTGCACTCTGCATTTACTCATTTTCCCGAATATTTGCTGAGTGTTTAGTTGGTATAGGGCACTGTGCTCGGTGGCAGGAATTCATTTTGGAGCAATATAAATGTCTTTTCCTCTCTGGTTACGTTCATTGCCCAGTAGATAAGACATAACCTTAAATAGTTAATTATATTTGGTAAGTCTGAAACTGCTATGAGGGAAGAAAAATAGGATCTTATGAGAACATAAAGAAGAAACATCTAAAGAAAAGCAGAAAAGGCTTCTCATGGGAATAAGGTTGATCTTGATAAAAGGATTAATAGATATTCGCCAGACATGATGTGCTGTGTGTGTGCATATGTGTGTGTGTGTGAGAGAGAGAGAGACAGAGATCTCAATTAGTCACTGATTTCTTTATTGTGAAGGATTTGTCTTAGATGGTCTCAGTGGGTAGAATGAAAATAAACAGAAGCCATAGAGACAAAGATTTCATATTTTTAAATGAACTATTTCTACACAATTAAAGCTTTCTGAAATTGGAGTAGACAATTGTGTTGAATTCTTAATTATAGTAGTAGCTTTACAAAGCAGAGGACAGAGCATATTATTACTCTGCTATGAAGTATCTAAAATACTCAAAGGCAGAGAAGTAGATAATAGAATGGCAGTTACCAGGGGATGGAGAGAGGTGTGTACAGAGAGTTGTTCAATGGCCATAAAGTAGCAGTTATACAAGATAAGTAAGTTATAGAGATATGCTGTCCAATACAGTGACTATAGCGAACAATGAGGTGTGGCGTACTTAAAAATTTGTTGAGGATAGATCTTATGTTAAATGTTCTTTACACACACACACACACACACACACACACACACACACTAGAAAACCAAACCAAACCAAACCAAAGAGATACCAAGAAACTTGGAGGTGATGGGTGTGTTTATTATCTGGATTGTGGCAATTGTGATTTGAGTAGATGCATATGTCCTAACATATCAAATTGTATACCTTAATTATAGGCAGTTTTCTGTGTAAAATCTCAATAAGGCTGGAAAAAATAAAAGATTTCTTTTTTATCAAAGCAGAACAACATTTCAGCTTATGAAAGAGGAATCAAAACAGATCCCTTCTAACACCATGATCGCATGATAATCAGAGACGCTCTGTACTGTCTGTTGGTCCTCGGTGACTCATTAAGGTGGCACAATTTCTAAGAACCACATCTAGGTTGTGCTTTCTCAATGGAGAGCACCCACATGAACACACAGAAAGAGATTAAGGTGCTGCTTATTTTTCCCATGAAAATTACATAACAGGAGCTTATTTTTCATGAAAGCCCTGACCACATACTAAATCATAATCAAAACAGTTAACCTACACTTTTTCCTGTAAATATCTAGTTTTCCCTCCTTCAGTTTATAGCTGGCGGCACTTATGATCTGACACACTATGACACCACGCTTTTTTTTTTAAGTTCAGTTTGTTTATTTTGGGAGAGAGAGAGGAGAGAGACAATCCCAAGCAAGTTCTGCACTGTCAGTGTATTTAGTCTGACACTGGGCCCAAACCCACGAACGGGGAGAATCTGAAGTGAGCCTAAATCAAGAGTTCTTTGGTTAACTGACTGAGGCGCCCCCATACCCTATCATCTTTCTTGAGGTGATCTGAGTGGTTACAGTCAGGAAATAAGAGCACATCATGAAGC